CTCATCCCGGGCAATCGTTTCTGTTTCAGGATCCACAAGCATGGGAGCTTTATTGCTTGGGATAATCCCTTCCCTTCATGATCATATAGCCTAATTAACTGGTTTGCATGTAATCAGTTCTCCATTAATAGCTGGTATCATAACTGGTGATTATGTGTGGAACGTTCCCAGTTCTCACCTGCTTCCACCACCTATTACACAGCCACAATTCGAGCTCTTCATAGGCCATTTCTCCTCCAGTCATCCATTCCTCCATCTTCTCGCCATCTTCTGCCTAAAAGCAATCTAGTGGAGAGTAACTACCTGGCAAAAATTGGTCATGATAATGCCATTCCAGGATCAGGACAGATGATAATACTGGATTATATGGCTTGGAAATACTTGTGAATTACTCCAAAGTGGGGCGGAACGAAGATTAAATCCGTAGAAGCTATGGGATCCCGTCGGAGGCGTGGGTTTACAGAAAAGTGTATAAAAGCCTTCAACTGCTGCTATTTCATATGAAATTACTCCACTAAGATGGAAATTTCATTTGTCACCACTTGGGTGAATTCGAGTCCAAAACGATATCAATGTTCAATAGAAAATGTTTCGCACACACCCATCCACCCACAGACACAACTCTGTCGATCTGTCATGTTTATTGAATGGAATCGCATTTCATCATTTTATTGCTTCTATTCATATCGGTCCCTTTTCACACTCAGTTTCACGCTACTATCGACATGAAACCCTTCATAGGTGGTAGACTGGATTGGCCATTAGTCGAGTCAGCTAGCTATAGTTAATTAGTTCAGTCTTCCTCAAGCTCTCTGTTCATTTGATACGAATCGACTTGATTTTGCTAGTTTCAGAGCGATTCCTTGTGATTTTCCTAAATTCTTTTCTTTCAGTATGAGTATCTTCCTAAACGGAAGTCTCCTTTCTTCCCCAGAAAAATCTCAATTTACAGCTACGGCATTGTCATCATCTCCGGATCCAGTAACGGTGAGAATTTCTCATTTCAAGCGAATCATGGAAAAAAATGAGAAGGCACGGATCTTCCTCCCATCTGGGAATCGATTGATTGAGATCGATGTAAATAATACGGTATGATACTATGTTATTGCAGAATTTCACATCACAAAGCACACCGTTCAAATCGTCACGCCATGGTTCGGAGGATCAATCAGAGAAGAAGAGCGCCTACAGTATCTCGAACATTCTCGAAAAGAAAGAGAACAGTCCAGTAGCAAGGTAATTGCTCGGATCATTACTAATCACCCCCTTTGCAACACCTATAAGGCCCCCATTTGACAATCATCAGGCTCCAGCGATGCCGACTAGGCTGTATTGTACTGAGTTGCTGCTGAATTGATTTTGCTGTTCATAAAGTAAGAATTATTGCTGCCAAGTGATGTGGTGTTGATTGATAACAAAAATTTAATTATTGTAAGCCATAAAAAGGGTTTTATAAAGGGCAGTGATAGCCAGAGATAGCTGCTAGTAATAAAATGAAAAAAAACTATGACTATGAACTATGAAAGCGACTATGTTTTCCAGCAGCCCATCGGCCAGCGATGATGACACCGGATCCCCACGATGTGGTTCCACAGAGGAGGAACATGGGTAAGGATGAAATTCTTGATAAAGCCCAAGTATACGCAATGATCCCCAATGATAACCGCTTACAGATCGATATCGACATCAGATACACAGCCAACCACTTCGGTATTTCCACATTTTCTTTTCCCTGGTACAGCTTTTCCTCCACCACCACCATCGACTGTATCAGAACTATCAACTCCAATGGTTATGCACAATTCCGTTGATATTTCTCCGGCCCAAATTCAGGTATGTACGATTCATATGAATGAGCACAGCAACTGAATAGCCGGCTTATTATGAGGCAGCTTAAGCCTACGAAATGAGATGTCCCCTATTATAATATGAAATCTGAGACGTCGATTGGTTATCCAATGCTCATTAAGAACTTTATGAGGCTGAGCTCAATCATATCATCAGATTCAACTGGCTAGAAGCTAAACTTACATATTCGCTTTGCAGAATTTTCTTTTTTTCAGCAAGCCTACCTCTCATTCCTTGTCGGACAACAACTGAACACAGCAGCCGTAGCAGCTGCAAATCCGTTACGTATCCTGGCTCAAGATCAAGGTATCACGCTAGTTGGTTTTTTTGATGAGCCGATTATCACTAAAGGGCGATTACATGAACTGTGCGGGACAGTTTTTTTGCTTCCCTCTGAGATTATCTGTGAACTTAGAGGATGATACAAAGTGAACAGCGATGTACAGTCCGCCTATTGTCCTCGAGCTTAGATGGAAATAATTTGTCACCTAGTCAGTCTGTCAATGACTCATACAGACAGTTTCGGTGCAGACGGTGCAGACGATGAGCTGCCTGCTCGATGTTTGGCAGGTGGTTGCGCAGCCTCCCACATCATTTCACATTCTACGCAATGTCGTGGCCGATTAGCGTATTCATAACATATGATAGTGGCATAATATATGTCCCTACTACTTGATATGCGCGTCAGTATTTCCGGTCGTCGAAGAACTGTCCGCATTAGAGAAGCTGGAACAATTCCCTGTCACCTGCCAGTACCCTGAGCCTCCTGAATCCTCTCCATATATTAAGCCGACCGAAATGTTCTCCCCAAACCACTTGCTACTCCTCTATCTATTAAATTCTTCAGAAATTGGGAAACCTATCAAGAAGCTCAAATAGAACAGCAGTTTTTAATGATGAGAGGTTTCGAACTCGGAACACAAAAAGAGAGGGGATGCAGTTATCTAGAAAGGACACACCGTCCCGAACCCAGATAATGACAGATCTTTCCGCTGCTCTGGCAACTGGCCAATACATCACAGAGATGCAAGGGCGAGTTCCCAATAGATGCCATCCTCTTACCATCTAACCTCCGCCTTTCGTGGATACCATTCCTTTTCGGGAGAATTCGAAAAAAATTGGAGCTCTCTAGACTCAGGACATTAGTGGATCTGGTTATTTCGAGGTGATTTGGGTCTACAAGCTACCACAGCTCTGACCGATTCCCCGGAAGTGGTTTCTGAACACTTCAAAAGCTTCTAGTCCACCTCATAGGTGGACTGACCTCATTCAAGAGCATATCTCTGCAAGGCGAAGGTTAGGGGGTAACCATTATTGGAGGAAAACCCCATAAAAAATAACAATCAGAACATTCGGGTGATTATCTAATTCATATTCGAGGTTGTAGATATCTGCTAGGTTGTCAACCCGGTTATAAACCGTACGACCGTCTGCTGTTGTATGGGAGGTATACGGTAGTTCCGTATGATGGTTGCCCGTAAATTGGAAAGCAACATGGTGTTGTATTGGTTGATGAATAGTCATACCATAATGAAGAGGCTATTAGACAATGCTTTAGTGGAACTGGTTCTTGAAAAGTCCCACGCCCCCCTTCGTCCCCCCTTTCTTGCCCATAGAGGAGCTGTAGCAGTCATTGAAATGGGATGTTGGGAATTTTTGCTAGGGCTTGCCTAATGGAGTGAATATTTCGATTGACGACGAACATTACTGTGTTCTGCGAATGTTCAGAAGGCTTTCTATGTTGCCGCCGTAATAAAATGATGGGGTTCAATAGGCAATAATCATGGCTACAAAGCATTGTGTGTGGAATCAAAGCGAGTTATTGCCGAAATGTCCGGCCTAGAGACGTCTTTCTTTCTTTACCTCCTTACTAGAAAGCTCCCTGATGGGATGGGACGACGAGAATGCAGCAGCAGCAGCAATAGCAGCACGATAAAGCTCATTATAGATGTTCTGAAAGAGCATTCTAGTGGAGGAACGAGCACTCTCAACCTTCATTAGATATAAATTACCTAGAAATTCCTACAAGTTCATCATTCTCACTGTCAGTTGGCGTTTAGGACTGCTGGCAGTCTCAAATGTTCTAAAAACAGGCCTAATTAAGGCCTGAAAGAAGAAACTAAGGAAGCGTCACCATCCATTAAAGCCAGAATTTCGATTCCAAAACATAAAAGAGGGCCTCCCATAGAACTAGGCGAGAACTGCCTCTTAAATGACGAACTTTCAAAGGGTTTTTGGTGCATTCCGAGAAATACTCGAATTTCCAAGAAAATGTAGAACATAACTCATGATATAACTGCGTTCATGTTTATAGTTTTGAAATTTTGGTTTTTTTTGATTTCGACCGTCTTGTGCTTCCACAACATCCCTTTTTGGAATTACTCCAGTACACCAGGATTTCAAAATTTTACAAAATAACACTCCTTCATCATCCCTCCTCCTCCCCCCTATTGATCATTCTAGCTATCACGGAAAACTGTACTATGCTTTGCTAGTTGGCAGATTAGGTCGAAATAGGAGATTTTCCACAGGGTTTCAGGTAATTTAGCGAAAACACTACCACTAATTACCCATATGATCCATGAATGAGTTCACCTGGGAAAGTAAGTATAGTCAAAACTGTCTATCAACCTACGCCGAAAGTATCTGTCAGAAAGCATTCGGACTTGTAGCCCCCTCCCAAGTGGTTCTGTACATATCAAAAGATCTCCTGATATGTTTTGCGAATACAAGTGAGAAGAGTCCTTCTGTAGCACTTCTATGGAAGCTATCGGAAAATCCCGATAGAAGTCTGGATTTTTTGTGGGATTTTTGCCACTTACTCTCCGTACAACCGAACATATGCTTCACAAGCTTCAATGCTTCTCCATGTGTGTTGCCGGTAAGGAAAAAAATCTGAAAGGAACCAGTTACGGTGTTGATGTTGCGAGATGAGGAATTGAATCGTCGTAGTCGTAGTCTGATGAGGCCGCCCTCATTTGGGCTGTCTGATTCCACTTTTTTTCAGCACGTCAGCTATTATGATTGCTCTTGCAAGTGTTATGAATTCTCATTTTGACGAAGCACTTCTTTTCAAATGCCGGCCTCGCATGGGTTTTTCATAATGGAACCATTTCGGCCTCTCCAGTAGAGAATCAAGAAAGGAGGTTTAAATCGGAAGAAAAGCAGAATGATTCACGGAATCTTTTGAAGATCATTTCTGGTCTGTACGAAAGCTTTTGGTGGAATTCTTCCCTAACATTTCGATTACTTTAACAGCTTCTCAATCATATCTTTTGAGCTGGCAATAGCCATATTGGTAATACGGTATAAGTAAGAGCTGCTGTAATCCCGAGAAGCTTTGTGGGAGTGAATTATTGCTCTGAGCCACTCTATCACATTGGTTCGCTCTCACAAAATGGTCCACTAATCTGACAACATGAAAATTTTGTTTGCCACACAGATTCACACGATCACGGGATAATCATGATTGCTTTTCGTAGTGGTTATACATTAAGAAGGGTTTATACTTATTTCCACTTTTCAGCAAGAGCAGCAGCTGCATTGAATCCGTTCGGAATGTTGCAGTTACCATCACAGGCACCCCTACGCATGCCTGTTGAACTATCATCAAATCCTCTTGCCCTACACAAGAAACAGAGCCGACCCACCTTCACTGGACATCAAGTAAGTCGGATTTCTCTATTCACGAATTTCCAGGGATATGTCAACTCTTCGAAACCACCTGAAACCATTAGGTCAGTTAGGTCAGTTCATTGAATCGGGACCCTTCATGTTCAAGGCGTTAGCGATAAAAGACCCCAACACAGGAATGAAAATTCAGTGGAGAAACTCGGTTTCGCAGTGACGTTACGGGAATTAAATAGAGTGGAATAGAAGCAAAGTCTTACAGGCAAGGTATTTCCCCTCATGGCATAACCCTACTTCAACCCTCAATCACCCTGCTCCTCCCCCCCCCCCCCCCCCCCCCCCCCCCCCCCCCTCCCCTCTCTCCGCCTCCAATCCCCTCCCCCAACTCAATACTAGTAATTAACCCATCACATAAGTAGTGCCCTGAAAAGGAACCTTGGGCATGGACATCCAGGCTGGGTGTAGCTGAGTGCTGTGGTTGCACTCGATCCCTCGTTCGAGTCAAGACCCACAGTCAGGTTACTGTAAGGACGGGGTTTCCGAACCGAAATTTCCTTTCCGTGGGTCCTGACACGATAAATAAGTCCTGTAGAACGGTGATGCATGTGCCATGGTATTACCTACATATAACTACTCTCAGTGTATGGAACGTTGATATTCTTATTGCTGCTGCTAGGCAATAGAATCTGAAAAGATTGTTTTCAAGAAATGCTTCAACCATAATGACAGCCTTTCATAACTCTTGATTACTCATTATGGCATCGCAAAAACATGCCAATCAAGATATCATTTGCAATACATAATTTTGATGTATTTTAATGATAAGCCTTTCACATTCTAATCAGACATAGCAAAACTGTATGTTGACATCGAAATTATGTCGATATAAATGAATCCCACGCTGATTTCAGATTTTCATGTTAGAAAAGAAATTCGAACAGACAAAATATCTAGCCGGATCTGATCGTGCCCAACTGGCCCAGGAATTGAGCATGAGCGAAAGCCAAGTCAAGGTAAGCTGTCTGGCATCGGTTATCTCCTTGCAAAAGGTTTCTTTTAAAATTGAGTCCAGTTCTCCCACAACACAGACTCCTAAAAGGTTTTACTCGGAAGTTAGCCTTCTTCCAAGTGATTATGAGTTTTTACTTGAAACTTTGCATTGAATTATCAGCGGGACTTTTCTTTCCTGAGAGAAAAGTTGTTTAAAGAATATTCAGTTTGGAAAATACAGGATTCAAAAAATTCAAGGTTTAAATGACCGCAATGGGTTGGTGAAAGGTACTGGCTCTACGTAATAGCCATACCTAAGTAGTTATGGTTATTTTATGGCTAAACTCATCTGCAGAAGAGTTTTGGTTGGTTCTGAAAGATATTTTTGGCTTTCACGATATCATATTCAACGGTCAGAAAGGACGTAATCGATTCGATAGTAACAACACACACATGGAAACAGGCACAATGAATTGTTGTCCGTTCGCAACATCACAAAGGCTTCGATGTTTGCGCTGGGTATCGTAAAACGTCAAACCCCGTTGGAAGAAGAAGGCATCGTGAAATAGGTGAAGGTCATAATCGTCGAGCATGGGAGGTGAATATTCCTTGAGAATATCGCTGAAGAAGGAAGATAGGGTAAACCATAAGAATTAACTAGTGGACTGGGTCACGCCTTCTCTATGGGTTACCTGTTTCTCGAGGGAGTGTTTAGGCACCCAAAAAGGGCTATTCCGCATTTCCCATGAATCTTGAGACTCATTCTGTTCCAATTTACTTAGATACCATCGTCATTAATACCAAGTGAAATACCTTAAAAAGGTATTTTATGAGGCTCAAAAAGAACGAAATTAACTGGCGTAAGTGACTCCTACAGGAGACCAGTAAAACTGTTAGACAATTATGGCAAGTTCCAACCCAGAAACTACAAGTAAAGAAATGGAGCTGAAGTTCGACAAGGAAAATGAAGGACAGAATTACATGAGGAGTAATTGAAGTGCATGCAAAAATTAGATTAGATAAGTGGAAGCGGTGATGAGCTCATGAACCAAGGATGGAGTCTCACTGAAGTCAGCCGAGTGTTCCTCTTAGAGTTCCGTCCGATAACAAAGTGAAAAGGAGCATTCAGAACTTCAGCTTCCCTAAAAGGTCAGTCTTGGATTTGGTTGTGCAAATCGACTAAGCACTCTTTAGGCAGTAAGATTCCGAATGAAGGGCGAATTCGCGGCGCATTCGAAAACAGAGTGGTTGTCCAGAGCAATGGAGAAAGAAACTTGGTGTATCTTTTTTCCACACTGGAGTTGAGGAGACCCTCCGCTACTCTCTACTGCTCCAGTTCCTTGAAATGTTCTGCAAATTCGACCTCCCACTGCGACCTCACCCTTTCCAAACTTCAGCTGCCATTCGCTGACGGTCTCAGTCGTTGAATTTCTGAAACACCATCGGGACCACTACCATCACCATCAACAATCGCTACCCACATGTCTTTTGGATTTGACGACGACGAACGACGTTCGAGGCATCATAAATTTAGTATTCATGCTCTGTCCATAATGGCGAATCATACGAGGCGGAGTCAGTCAGCCAGTCAGTCAGTCAGCTGGCTACGATTATGCACATTTGCGTGCTGCCCCTCGAGACAAATTGAATTTCGAATTTGGCGCCTCAATGACCGGCAATCGACTACGGTAACTCAAGAGCAGTCTTACTATGCACATCGCGCAATCAGCTTTTTTCATCTCATAAGATTGTCGTCGGCCCGATTTCAGACATTCGGTTGCAACGGATATTAGGTGCTCTCAACAAATGCTGGGGGAGATATTCCTCCACGAAAGCCATGCACTGACTGGGAGAGTAACTCCACCATTACTACCTTCTCTTCACCGTTTCCTTCATATCTAAGCAAACTCAAACAATGTGAGGATCGCTTGAAAGCGCATTCATGGGGGGAACGATGAAGCCTCATGGGATTCGCCCTTCACCTGACTACCCCCTAGGAGCGCAGTGTTGTTTGTATGCGTATGTTGCTTATGCAATTAATCGCGTGGACGGGTCTGAATATTAACAGATGCTTTTATCCTATCAAACGATTCCGAAAAACGACCCTGGAAGAATGGAAAGCTTGGTTGGCCTGGATGGGAATCCCACGACCCCGCTTGCCGTGATATGGGGCACATGCTTAACAGTGATGGGATATTTTTTTGACTCATAAGAAAATTCAACTAGTAACCGTTATAATACAGCTGTTGCTATGAAAACGAGACACCAACTGTTCTTCAACTCCCCGGCGGTCCCTCCTCTCATGTGTGAGAAGCTCTGAGCATCGTCTTTTTTACAAAAAAAAAACGACAAGCTTCATATCTGCTTGCCAAGATACGCAAATATAAAGTTGTCAACGATAGACAATCACATAGGTATAGAAGGGTAACATATGGCATATTTTGCATATTGAATGGCCTATGTCACAAAGCTTTTGGACTCATAAAGGCTATAAGCTCTTCAGTGAGTACCAGAAGACCAACGACTTGGTTCGTCCAGTGGACGGCTACCGTATACCTTCAGCTTGTTTTGTTGTAACAGAATGAACAAAAATTGTAAATAAAAGAATAGAATTGTCGGGAGGGTATGAAGTTCGTTTGGCAAAGTGCCAATTCCGGAAGTTGTAGTTTAGAGAGTAAGAACGGCTTAATCGCAACCTGAAAGCCAGAATTTGGAGCGGTCTCATCCATACATAAACATGAGTGCGTTTGTCGATCGATTGATGAAACTCCACCGTATTCACAGAGTAGTATGCCAATAATTCAACTTGAGCTTTTCTATTTGAACCTTTCTTCTTGAAGTTCATGGAGTAGGATCGAGATGATTCAGTTCCTTTTGGAACTACTCTTTTCAAAATTGGCGAATTACAAAGACAAAGTTGTCAGTCAAAATAAGAACCCGAGATTCTATCCAGCCATATACAATTTACGTTCAAAATTCCAACATTGATTTGGACTTGGGAGGGCAAGAGACTAAGGCTTTTTGGGAGAAGGCAGACTACGAGACCTCGTGTCGACAAAACGGGGGCGCACGCTGTAAAAGTATGGCCAGCACGGGTTCTGTATGGCACACAGTAAAGTCAAAGTCAAAGCAAAACATATCCCGAAACTTTACATGTGAATCTTATGACTTTTTAAATCAAGTATAATAATTTGTAGGTAATTTTTGAAAATCATCCTAATAAAACCTTGTTTTCAGGTTTGGTTCCAAAACCGACGCACGAAATGGCGTAAGAAGGAAGCCGCCGATAATGCCCTTGGTAAACGTCAAGAAGATCTAAAATCTCCATCCGAACAAATCCAAACTCTCCAAAACATCCCATTCATAACCTCCCCGAATTAAAGCTCAATGCAGAGGGCCGTGTACCAACAACGTGGAACGCCAGTGCATTATCACCTTGAAACTTATCGTTACCCATTCGAATGTTGTAGGATCATCTGTAATGTGTACATGTGTGAAACGCTCCGAGGAAAGGGAAAAATCAGTGGCGTGCGCACGTATGCTTACGCGGCGCGTGGAGGGTGACGTCATACGAGCGCGGTGCGACCGCCTCGCAGCCTCACGCTCCGCGTACGCACGCTGATGAGTTTTCTATGGCGTCCGTCGTCCATCACTCCGATACTTTGTAGTTTGAAGTCATGAACTCCTGCGATTGTATAATAACAATCCGTAGAAGTTAAGTTTGTGTGATATTACGATATATATTAGTTTGTTTTTTTCCTGATTTCTATGGTGACAATTAGAGCCGTCGTTTTGTTTACAACACAGTAAGTCATCATCATTTGGTCACCCATTCCTGTTATTTTGCCATTGTCTTGCCCGTCACTATGGGTGAGTGATCGTGTTCCTCTTCATCCATATGAGATATTCTTACGATATCATCCCATAAATGGTCCCATTTTGATTGTCATCAATGATAGTAATACACTTGACAGGCCTTTCCAATGTCCCAGTCCATGATCTCCGTTGTTTCTCTCCGTTCGATTATTATTTTTGAGTCTGATTTCTTCGAACCCCCTTCTAATCACTGTTGTACACAAATGTTATACAAAATTTTATTGTGTCTTAGTTTTGATTTGTCATACAAAAGAAGGATCGTGTGCTTAATAAATCCTTAAATGACATGACAACAAGCTCACAGTCATTGTCACTTATGGTTTCTCTGGGAGTTGGTGAAATCGGCTCGGAATGTACCATTCCCTCTGGGGTTAAGGCAGTAGATAAGATATGCTTCAAGGGGCAATACTGTTTTGGGAAATACTGTTGTTATTGGACTATCTTACTGTACCGTAATACTGCTGTACTGAGTTTAAGGTTCACTAACTTCTGGGTTTGAGCTGCTCCATCGGAAACTGCTTACAAATGACTCACATGGTCGGCGATTTATGGATAAAACTTCAGTCTCGGACGAGACTCGAACCCGTTCTTGTGCTTTTCGGGACCGTGCTCTATCCTCCATGTGTATGGTGCTTTCTACTACTTAACCATGGACAGAGTCAAGGAATCCTCGACAGCGGGAGGCGTCTCTGCTGGTGGGGAAAGGCCGAATTTTCTACAGGGTTCAGCCACTCAAGAAAATATTAAAACCCGGTCCTCTTTGGCGAGCAAAGTTGGGGAAGGGGAATGATGAGCTTACTGCCACTTTGAATCTAAGATCGCAGATCTAAACCAAAGACACCCCCCCCCC